GGCGCTCCTTGCAGAGTTTTAAACGCGCCATTAAATGAAATATTCCAACGTCCATGCCGTGAATCATTGATGCCTACCGTTGTAATCATCGTCGCGCATCGTCTCAGCAATTATTTTGCACATCCTGCTGAATCTTCCGAAAGAATAGCTGTGAGATCGTACTTCATCAATGCACTTTTAAAGGAATTCTAAGAATGCATCCCTTAGTTTCAGAAGCTACATTTGTATTTTTTTCCATTATTTGGCACGACTCTTTCCATTCGCGTCTTTGTCAAGATTTGAAAAAAATCGTCTGAAGTCTGGCAAATGTCTGTTCCACGCAAAAGCATCGACATACTTGTGTAATTCTCGTTGCGCTTTCACGGTTGCAACCGTGATTTTCTAATATTCGACTGTCTCGTAATGAAGACTGTTGCCGTTTGCGGGACATGAACAATACTATGAAAAGACGAGCGTACAAAAGCCCGTGATGCTACGCGATGCGACATGTATCTCGAGTTACTACTGATGTTGCTCTTGTCAGCCTTTCGCATCACACTGGCGTAGCATAATCGAAAATTTTAATTTTTAATTTTAAAAAATGACGAAAATTAATTAAAGCTTTAAAACATCAATAAGAGTATGTGTTAGATAGATTTTACAATATCTTGATTTGTAAAATTTAAAAATATTTAAAGTTTTTCCCTTCTAAATGTATGTGTAATGACAGAGAACATACAATATTTGAAATATAAAAAAAAATTAGAGAAGTATATGAATAATTTCTTTTTTTTCGATTATATTGTTTTCGGATCTCTTTCAGATTTCAAAAAAATTGAAATAATTTTATTTTTGTCTTCTTAAAAAATAATAAATTAAAGCTACTTATATTATGATAGATACAGTTATGAAAAATAATGTAATCACAATTTGCCATTCTTCACAAGGATAACGAGGATACGAATTTTTTCAAATGAGACATTCTTATTTTCTTCATTCACTTGGCATGAAGACAGGGTGATCCAATTTCGCGTAATTTACCATTGCGATCTTTTTATCATTAGAGCGAAACGTACTTGCCGTTCGTACTGTGAAAATTACGTAATTTCGTGCGAATTCCATGTCGCGCAAATGGAGTCTCGATGCGACAATCGTAATTTGAGCAGCGGCTTATGTCATCGTGAAAGCATCAAGTAATGAGCAAACAAAAGGGCAAAATTTATTTTAGCAGAGTTCGAATGGAAAGAAAATTTCTACGACTATAAAGATTTCTTGATGTTAAATTGTATTAATTTTAAAAAACATGACGTAATTAAATAAATTTTAATTCACTCAATGAATGATCCTATCAGTCAACTAAATGAATGTAAAATAAAGGATATTAAATTTTAAATCTCTCAATATGAATTATCTAACTATTCTATCCAATCTAGATATGAATATAAAAAAATAATATTTCTAGAAAATAAATGTTTTAAAAATTTGGAAAAAATTAATGTATTTTAAAGATTTTTCCAAACGTCACGATTTTTTGTCGCAAGAGACTCATCTTTTATTTTCTCTTTTATTTTCTTCATACAAGAAATGTTTGAAATAGCATGGAGTGTAAAGATTTACGAAGGAAACTTACAACGTCATACGTTGGTCAATGACGTTAGATTAGAGGCAATCATTTACGACTCCTCGCACGACGTTTAAACTAGCAGAAACTCGTGTGGCAAGGCTCGCGAGAAAGGGTTTGCTTAATCACTTTTTAACTGCATTAGTACAGGCACCCCCTGTCTGACGCTGCTGCGCGCACTGCACCCTCGTCGCATCAAAAATAGATTACTCCGCGTTCGGTCCCGATATATTCTCTCCGGCTGTAGCGCGACATGCGTCTCTGCATTACCGGTATATTACGATAATATATGAACAAGCGCGGCGGGGTAGGAAGTGCAACCGCATTAAAAATGAAGGTCCCTTTTGCGACGGGAAAGAAAAGCACGCCCGAAGGAAAAGCCGCGAGCTGTTGTCCGCGTGTCGGTCCGACAATATTCGGATTTATTTATTCAGCTCTCGGAATTTGTATACCGAATGTCTGACAGCTACAATGGTTCGTAGTCAGCTTTATAACGAGACATTTAACATCGCTGCGTAATTCGCGAACTAAATTTAACGTTTAACTCTACTTTTAATATATTAATAGAGTCAAGTGATTTTCATTCTCGTACCATGTATATCAGGCTGATACAATACTGTTTTAGTCAATGTTTGTTACATGAATGATTCATGCTAATAGCGACAATTATAAGCGACAGAATATTCCAAACTAACATTTTGTTTGTAAAAAATTAGTTCAGCATCTCATTTTAAACATTTGATATGTTCAAATCTAAATTTATCTTTAGAAAAGGACTGACATGAAATTTGTAGTTCGTGACGAGGATAAAAGCTCGTTTTCCACCCAAATAGTATTGCGCGACTGAAGTAAAAGACGATCTATAGTCGCGGAAAGAACGTTCGGAAGAAACGTTTGTCGAGCGGGAGAGAAATGGGGAAAAGCCGTATTGGAGTGTTTTCCGCATCCGAACTACCGTCGCCGTCGCTGCCGCAAGACAATCTTGCCGCATGCCTTCGCTAATAGACTGCGCGCGTCAGCCTTTTTCTCCTTTTTTTCCCTTACCCTCCGCGTTGGATTTGCTGCCAGGACGATGGATAACCCCGGGTCCCTAACAGCCGTTTAATTTGTGTCTGGCTCTACGTTTTTGCGCCGCGAACGGACCTTCGTTCGAGCTGGAAACAAGACGCTCGTCTGCGCGACGACCCTTCGCCTTGACTACTTGTTGTAGCCATCCCGCCCGAGTGTTTTCGAGTGTTTTTCGAATCTCCTCGTTTTAGAGCGAGAGAATCTGATGGCCCTTCGAGCCGCTGACACGACACCCGTGACAATAACAAATTAGTTTGGTCTAGTTTAAAGAGTGGGCATCGGTCGAACGGATGGGAGTTTGTTATTGCTAGCGGCTAATTTCTGTAATTCATGTTTGGGATACCATCACATAATTCGATAAATTTTATTAAGTATGATTTTATTATTAATGTGTGTACCTCGCGATTTAATCTCTATAATCTTTAAAACCAACAATTAATGATTTCAATATTTTGATGCTATTTTTTTCAAATAGATTTCAAATATCATTAATGCTAATTCGCGATGTGGATATTTTTGTAGATTTTTCTTAATCAAATAAAATTAAAACATGTTATCTTTTATTATGTAAACAATTTGAACAAAATAATTCGTCGAAAAAAAAAGTCATAAAAAAACTCTAAAACAAATGTATATTCGATATACGAAACGAGGTCAACGTGAATCAAAAATCACGAATTATGAGGAATACACACAACATATCTAATCGAATAAATATGTCTGATTTTCGTCTTATTTAAGCGATGAATTTCAAATACGAAAAACATTTACAGTGATTTAATTTAAATGTCAGTCGCAAATTATGATAGAAATAAATCCAAATAAAGCCACGAATGTCGTATTAGAGTGTTTTTTTGCTTATTTATATGATATATTTATATGATGGCGAGACATCTTCTTTTATCGGAATTATGTATGTTTGTACTTTTTACATCTGCTGAACTAAATACATATTTGATAATTAAATGCGAACGTATATTTTCTTCCTACACATTTTGAATAAAATTATGAGTATCAAAAATGATTTTTTGCGTATTTTATTTTTATATTTTAAAAAGAAAGTATTTAAACGCTTTGCTTTATTATAAATTATTATCGTGAATCTCTAATGACAATAATCTACATACATTTGTTGCAGATAATAAGCAACAATTATGAGAAATGTACGTATTTCATAATAATTTAATTTAAAAATTTCTCCGTAAATTTTTTAAATATTAAAATTTATCTCCGTATTCTTCGTTGAAGAGGAAAAATTTTTTGTATTTTTTAAAAGTCATCCGAGAGTTTGACGTTAAAATTTGTGCTTTAAATGTCCGACACTCGGCGGCATGGCACAAGCTTACAATTATTCATATCCATCGGACGATGGAAAGATATGTCTCGACGTGTCTTCGGCGACACTTTCTAATTCCTAGACAACGGCTGGAAGATCTAATTTCCTAACCTGTCATTCACGCGCCACCAGAACTCGAGCCTTCGTCAACGGCGCGGACGGTTACGGATCGTTTCTAAGGATCCGTTTAAGTCGGAGACGTGTTCCGATACGCTCCGAAAATTTCCTGCGGCAAAACACTCCGTAGCCGTAAATTCACTTTAACGCTTTTAACATATGATCATTCACTTTGTTAATAGCCTAATTTTTCGTTTAAAATTAATCATTACTATTATTTGTAAAATTAATTCGATTTTTATTTTAATATAATTTTACTTTAACTAAGATAAAGTCAAGCTATCAATCAAAATTAATTAATTAAAATTTTTATGATAATACATAATTTATAATAAAATAAAATTAATTAATATTTGTTTTATTTATTATTATATTATAAATAATTCAATTAATTAGTTATTGACTTTAAATTAGTTAAAGCAAAATATAAGAACAGTTTTTATTAAACAAGTTTAAAATATATTATTTATAATTAAAATATTTAATATATATAGATGTATGGGCTATAACAAATCAGAATAAGTTTAGCTCGCATTATAAAAATAACTTATCACATCACATATACATCACAATTAATAAAATTATTTTAATATGTTCTTTATTAAATAACCTAAATAATTGATAAATAAATGATTAGAATGATGAAGTGAAATTTTTATACTCCTTTAATTATATTTTAATTTGCATTTATTTGTAATATATTTTAATGTATATTGAAAGAAATTGTTAAAAGTTATAATTAATTTGTTTAATTTGTTCTAGCCCATTTTTTAAGGTAATGGATCTATCTACAATCTACATTTATAATCTCTACAGATCCGTTACCTTACAATTAAATAAAATTTTATCACTCACCGACACTGATGCGCAACAGCGGAGTTGTTGATATTAAGAAGCTACGTTGTCTGTAACATACAAATATAAAATCTAAATTATAGCAGTGTTTAAAATAATTAATATTTCAAGAAATCATTATTGTATGTATCGAATTTTATATTCGATGCGTACATTAATAAGTAAATAAAAAGTAGTTCTCTATAAATCTTAAAGAAACTATTTTTTGAATAGAAACATTTTTATAAGATTTGTATAAAAGTCTTTCTCTCTTTGAGTCTCTCTTGTTTAAATCATTTAAATAAATGAACTGAATTAATGCGATTTATGATAATTAATATACAAATAATAATACTCACTTTATAGTTGCTCCGCTGATGCCCGATGCCTCTCCTAGGCCTCCTCTCAGATCATCGGAGTTGTTGCGTCGATCTATAACATACGAATAAAAGATCCAAATTATAATAGCGTTCACAATATTAATATTTCAAATTAATTAATATTTCAAAAAATTATTATTGTACGCATTGAGTTTTATATTCCATGCACGTAATAATAAGCAGATTAAGAAAATAATTCTATATATTTTGTGAAAAAAGAACATTATTAATAATTTTCTAATAACTTTATATAAAAGCTTTACAAAATTAGTTTTTGTAAAAAAACCCAATTCTTTATTCAATTCTCTCTTATTTAAATCATGCGTAAATATAAAATTAAATTACGCGATTAATTGTTCAATTTGAATTTTGTGCATGAAATTATAATAAATTTTATATATATATATATATATATATATATATATAATTACAAATAAATAATAGACAAATACTGATTATAGTTGATTATTGATTTGTTATTTATTATTAATATTAAATAGATCTATAAATGTATAAAACAAAATAACTGATTTTGAACAATTAATTATTGTGACCCATTAAGTATTGCGACCAAATTTTAAGTATTGCGACAAAATAACTGATTTTGAACAATTAATTATTGTGACCCATTAAGTATTGCGACCAAATTTTTTATTAGTTTTTTAAATAAGTATTTAATACTATAAATTGCATAAATATCAAAAAAATTTTTTTGGGATATGAATTTCAAAAAAATATAATGAAAAAATTTAATTTATATATAAAAAATATCTAAAGGAAATTATATTATTGTAAAATATTTTATTGAAAAATATTAAATTATTTGTGTATAAAAATATTAATTAATATAAAAATATTTTATTACGTAGAGATATTTAAATTAAAACTTGAAATATTTTTGATATATAATATATTATATACAATAGAATACAATATATTATATACAATAAAAAATATTGAATTGATCATGTTATTGAGAAAATGAAAAATAAACAAGTAATGTGTGTATTTTGAAAGTAATATAAATAATAAGTATATATATATATATATATATATATATGTACTAATATAAATTATTTACCACTATATGTACTGTTGCTTCGTTCGTCATCTGGTATTTTCCTGAATCCTTTTCTTCTTTCTTGTTTATCTTTTATTATTTCTTCATGGCACTTATATTCACTCGCGAAAATACTTTAATTATATCTTAAATATGACTAGTCCAAATAACACTTTGCATGATACTCCCGATCGTGGAACAATTACAAAAAATACGCACTTTATTATATCGTTTTAGAGAAAAACACGATTCAGTAATATACACAATGATCCAATAATATATACAATAATTATTGCGTATGCAATAAGGTACACAATAATATGAATCGTAAGATCAAAAGATTAAAGTAATTAAAAAATCATATATCAATTGTTTAATTAATTTATGATCGTATTTTAGAACAATTATGATCGAACAAAATATGTATTTGATTATATATATAACATAATTAAATAAATAATTATTCGTGCAACTATTAATCGATAATCCAATAATCATAACGAAAAGATAATTTATATTTATATATTTTTTATTCCTGTCGCGAACGCGCTTTGATTTTTGCAATAATACATACATGATCGCGCTTTGATAAAGTTTATCGTATAATATACATCGCAGTTTCTTGTCGTTTATCAAAAGTTTTTGATAATCATTATTATTGTATATATTATTGAATCATTGTAATAATTGTAGCGAGAATTATATTTCGATACTATTCGCGTTTTGAAGAGGAATTCAATAATATACGAAGCATTTCGCAATACTACTTTACTGCCCGACTATCGCCGCGCGAATGATAACACGGCCACATCATATTAACAATAGCATGCTACGCCGTCAAGGCCGCGATGCCAGATTCCTTTCGGTAGCATGGAGGGGGTAATAGACAAATGTTTTGTACTTACCCCCTCCTCCTGCTACCGAAGGCCGGAATCTAGCATCACTGGGTCAAGGCCACACATCGTGTTATTGATGACGTCATCACTCAAATATTTCACGCATTTTAATGTATATGTATAACGCGGAGTATTAAATTATACAAGCATTTTAAAGTAAAAATTGTATATTTAACTGTTTAAGTCTCAGGAAGCTCATCATTATATTAATTGCAATTCTGCGATTCATTTTACTGCACATTCTCAATTTGAATTATATTAGATCATCAAATTGTCAAACGATAAAGCAATGACATATCTTTAACTTTAAATATCAATAGAGAAATAATTATTTCTCATAAGAATTACAATAAAATGGTAATTTTGATTTCCGTCACACATATTTCGATTTTTATTGTTAGTTGATTAAATAAATACGTCACATCGAATATGCTTCGAGAGCTATCGTCGCGATATTTTAACTACGTATTATTTAATATATCTAAAATAATTTTTACGCTCTATCGATATTTTTATTTGTTTTTTAAATAAGTATTTAAATAAGTATTATTAATAATATAATAAATAAGTATTATTTATTATAAATTGCGTAATTACTGAAAAGTGTTTTAATATTTTAAAAAATATAATCAATAAAACATACATACACACATATACACGTTCTAATTCGTATATATAAAATATCTAAATAATTATTATTATAAAATATTTTATAAAATATTAAACTATCTATATAAACATATTTTTTTATAATATATATGCTTTTTAAACATTTTTAATATTTTAAAATAAAACTTTATATATAAACTGCATATATAATATATGCAGTTTATATATAAAGTTATTATACGATAATTTATAAATTACTTACCACATATATATCGTTGTCCCGCATATGTCATCAAATGCTTTTCTAGATCTCCTTTTCACTTCTTCTTGTCTTCTTGATCCTTTGCTGTAACTTTTATATTTACCTGGAACACACAATTAATTACGATTAGTTATATACGAGAACACTTTTTACGGTACTCCCGATCGCGAAAATCATACGAGATATGCACTTTATTATCAAAGGGCAATACGAAAAATATGATTCGCTGGATGTTTACGCAAGGCTAAGATCACATGCACTATTCGTTATAACACTCTATTGTTTATATAATAAAATTTCGCAATTTTTTTTGATAAAATAAAAATTTAAAAAAGAAAGATAATATATAATAACTATAATTTTAAGTAAATATAATTTTAAGATAATATAGTAAATATAATTTTTATTTTGATATGTAAAAAAAAGATTTTATTTTTCAATTTTAAATATGTATAAAATTAGATTTAATCTTTTTTGAATGGAATGGTGAAATTCTTTAAATTCACATTAAAATTATCATTATTTTTGTTACTGAAATTTTATAAATTTTACATTATGTATGAAATAAATAAATTCCTTAAATATCGTTGTTATTAAAATAATTAAAAAAAAAAGAGTTTTATTATTTCATAACAATTACAAAATTCAATAATTACAATATAAATTTTTCTTTTGAATAAAAACAAATTTTATAAATGATTGAATTAAGGTATTAAAAATTTAATAATTATTAAATTTTAATATATATATTAAATTATATTATTTATACGATTATCGTATTAATAATTATTACATAAATCTTTTGCACATTGCTGCTGCTTTTACATACGAAATATACCGCGAGCCTATGATAAAAGAAAGGCAGGGACTCGAATTACACTGGTTGACGTCTCTAGTGACTACAGTAATAATATGCAAATTCGATACGGATGGTTGAGGCGCGCGGTTGCCGGAATAAAAGTAACGTAACAGAGCAAGTACGCGCGCGCGCGCATGCTCGTGTCGGAGCTTATAAGCTTTAAATTTGTTTTGCGCGCAAGTCCATTTTGCTTCCCCTCCTTTTGCGCGAAACGGTTTCGTCATAAGCTCTTAATGCAGCATTGCAAATTCACGCGGGATTTTTCTGCGTTGCCGTCGCGGGCTTGGATTTTTTTCTCCACGCTTTGTGGGATTAGGAAAGATTGCGGTTGCAACGCAGTCTCGCGGAACTCGTCAAGATATATTTATTAACGACAAATGCTCACTTTATTAAGAAAAAAAATATGGGAGAGAGGGAATATAAAAGAGGAGAGATTGAAAGAGAAGAGAGAAGAAGGAATACATGGATGTTATGTTTGTTTTGAAATATCCAAGAAAGCTTGATTATTTTAAAATTATTTTTGCATTGCTCATTAATTAAAATTTTGAAATTCATTGTCTGAAAATTTGATAACATTATAGCATTGTTTATTTGATACAAATTGATTCATCGTTTTATTATTTTATTATTTTACAGATAAACGTGTAGATTTTTGGGGATAACTTTTTTATAAATTTTTGTGTTATTTCTTTTTAATTGTTCACACGTGAATTTAATTATTTAATTATCAACTTTTTTATAAAATTTGAGTTTTTTTCGAGAAAATAATAATAAAGGTAATTATAAGTATTAATTAAATGATTAATAAATATTTTCTTATATGTTAATAAATATTTCTAAAGCAAATTATTTTTATTTATCGCAATATTGAAATCCAACATTCTTCATAAAATTTTTCGCTAAAATATTTGTTAAATAGTTTAGAAATCAAATGTTTTTGAATGTTATCACTAATAAATACCTAGCAATATTGGCAAAATGTAGTTACTACATTGTACGTTACACAGACGCTTTGTGGCATGATAGGGTAGATTTGTCGAATAGCGTTTAGATTGATACCGAAATGCACAGCCGGAAATGGAGGGAAGGAGCAGACAAGGGCCAATCGGCGAAACGGATGGTCTAATTTAATCTTGACTAAGCTCGCGAAGAAAATTGGCTCGCGATCTGAAATGGTCGTCCGAGGAATCGCAGCTGCTCTTCGCACTAACTAGAAACCTTGTTCCGACTTTGTTAAAAGAGGAAAACGCGGAGACCTTTGGCACGGACACGGACCTATTAAAATTGCCGTTTGCAATATTACTTTCGTTCGTTACCATTTTTTGCAAAAAATTAGAATTGCTCGACTTTCATAATTAACAAATCTCGACGAGCCCGTGAAATTTAATTCAACTGCAAGTATTTTAATTTATCGCATTCTCCAAATTTTGCGAGCCAGTGAACATTTACAGGCGGAAAATACATAAATTAGATTTATAGAGATATTTATTCAGATAAAATTACACGCAATAATTTTTAATTAAAATTATTAAATCTCACTTGTATGCGTATGTGTATGTATGTATACCACTTATATGTGCGCAATAACTCTCACGTTAATTTAATTTATCCAATAATATATAAATGTAGTAGAAATGTATTAATTTTTTAATATTACATAATTTTAAAAGCATTAATACATTGAACACAGTATTAATTAGTATTAGTATTAATAAAAATTACAATTATATTAATATTAATAAAATTTTCATAAAATATCTATAGATTCGCGCTTCAGATTGTTTCACCCGGTATATGTATCCAGCTGTTGGAAGTTCTTAGCGCGGATTCGTCTTGGGAATTCCGGACACGTAAAAGTCGAGACCCGAAGGGTTTACCGCGAATATGCGGCCGATGATCATGTACGGCGAATCGTGAATACGTACGCATTATCCGTAAGTTCTAACACGTCGATTGTAGCTCATGATATTACGCGATTCGCCGTTACGTCGTAACGTAAATTGCTACATCGATACATTTTCTTCCGGATTTGCGTGCCCGCCGGTTCCTTGCGTACGGCCGAACGCACTTTATCATTTCGTTAATTGCCCTGGTCGTGCCGATCGCGTAATGTTACGGGATTAGATAGCGCCTTTTAATGAAAACTCATCGTCGACCTTTCACCGCTCGGTTATTCGTTCGCACTTTCATCGTGGGAGCGTTTATATATAAGAGATACATGTTAATAGTTAGGAAGGAAAAGGTAGAGATGTTAAAATTGTATGATAGTAAGGTGTATATATACTATAATTATAGTACAACCGAGACTAAGTCTTTAGTATATCTTGTCTAAAATTATACATAGATTAAGTTGAGAGACTATATAACTAAATCTTTATATATATATATATATATATATATATATATATATAATTTATTTATTTATTGCTTGCATACTATATGTGTGTAAGAGATATTGATGAGACATATAAAAAAAATTTCATATTGAATATAAAATTAATATTTTAATATTGTATAAATTGCACAAATAATTTTTTAAAATAAATATCAAGTAAAAACCTATATGGAAAATTAACAA